TATTAGAGTATTACTGTTATGTTTTGTTGAATTTTGTTCTGTCCCGATATGCGTAATGAATGGTAACTTTTGGGATCCATTTATGGACCAATACTATGCGTATATTTTTATCGTATAAATGTCCCTCTTATTACTAAATTTTTTGACCTATGAACTATTATTTTACGATGTATCATTCTTGAATTATGCTGTCTATTAATTACTACCTCCCACATTGACAGCCACATTTGGCCAAATCTTGTATAAATGTTGTTTCTTATTTTCTGGTACGATGTGGTCTGTCTGGTTGGTATATAAATCCCATATGTTTGAAATAAATGATTCATATCGCAGCGGCTGATATTGGTGTTCTGGACTTAACTGGCTAGGCTAGGCAGGAAGCAGCGCCGATAAGGACTCTAGACTGCTCGTACGAGTTTTACGCGTCATTGGTCCGATCGATAATTCACTGTTCTCTAATTGGCGGTATCATTACGTTATCATTAACAGGGCACACATGCCACAAGCTATAACAAATATATGGAAATGAAATGTTTATCAGCAAAAAACTGTAATTAAGAGAAAAGAAAGGAAAACAGAGATTGATCGGAATAACAATAGAATTGAAAGAATGATGGAGTGTGTAAAGGATAGTCCGAGGAGAATGTGCAAATAATGTCTATAACGTTAGATTTTCATATGTTACAAAGGCATTATGTTATGTTGCTTTTGAAGAACAAATCGGTTTACCATATCTAAGTACTCATTCACTCAATTATGACATGATAGCTTGACAATATTTTTATTAATAAGAATTATCAGTAGTATCATGGTGTTAGAGTTTTATTTATTTACATCTGACCAATTGAATGCTTACATGAGGTGATCTATGCTAGGATTTACATTGTCTAATTATAATTGGAACTAATTATGCGAACTAGTTTTTTTTCTCACAGTAACTATTGTATTACGATCGATTAGTGAAATGACCTACTCAAAAAAAGAAACAATAAAAATATTTTGTCATTTGGTTTTCGTGACAGACGTAGAGAAACAGAGAAAATTGACGGTTACTCATTTAAATCATTTCTGCTTATGATATTAAACAAATTTTTATCATAGAAATATTATGCAGATCATTTAACTGAATTTATACAACATATACATATATAGATGCAGGCATTCTTGATGAGATATTGAACTTAGTATGGACCGTGATTGATTACATATTTTGTGTGTGTGTGAACATATTTCTTCATATATATATATATATATATATATATATATATACTTGCTTATATACATGTGGGTGCTTTCACTATTGTAAGAGAAGTTATTTCATAAAACTGAGTAAACATTTATCATGTAATTAAATGCAACTATTACATAGAACATCACTTCTTTAAAACCAATTCTAAAAATAATCATTTCTTAATATAACTGTTATCATTAAGTAATGTCAACCAGGCAAAGGATATCTGTTTTGAGATGGTGAAGACGACTTGTAGCTCAGGTGAATGATTTTAGTGGTTTTATTGTTTGAGCTGAGAGAACAAAACTCCATCAAAGGACATGTGTTTCGTTATAGTTTGGGATTAATCACAGTACATCATTCTTAGTTGAATAAATCAGTGTGTGAAAAGTTTATTTGCAGATGATCTGTTACTAATGTTACTTGAATCTCTATCAAAAATTCACATTATTACACATTGATAATATCGACTTTATGATAAGTAGAACAAAAAGAACTGATGCTGAATGATAGTCAATTGAAAATTGATTAGTTTTCCTTTATCAACAAGGATTTTATAGAAAAGAGATATTAGTTTTATCAGAATGGGTTTTGTGGAGAATTTTTAGAAATTTCACTGGTTGTAATCATGAGTCAGTTGAAGCTAGACCACCATGGAAAACCTGGAAGCACTGAATGGCCGTTTCGTCGTAGTATGGGACTCCTCAGCAGTGCGCACACACGATCCCGCACCCCGTGAGATTCGAACCCAGAACCTATAAATCTCGCGCCAGGCGCTTAACCAACTAGACCACTGAGCCGGTATCCAACGGTGTTAATGTTTAACTTCAACCAATCCACGAAGTTGCTCCACCGTACACCATTGTCTTCAGTGAGCTGATATCTCACAACAGACCTTATTGTACTCCACTGGTAACGACTTCTCACCAGAACTCCAGGAGTATCTCCTGAAGTCAGTCACTAGTGAGCAGATGATTACTATTCTTATTAGAATGGGTTTTGTGCAGATTTTTTAGAAATTTTACTGGTTGCCTGAGTGATCCTGATTTTCGTTTACCTAGTAAATATTTTTAAAAATAACGTTGGATATATGAGCTTTAATGTTATTTCATAAACAAATTCACTTTATTCATCAAATATTATTTTGCTTAAATCAATGAAGCTAATAGGAACAGTCGTTTTATCATAAATCTAATATCATTCTTCGGTTTTCAACTGTGTATATTACTATTTAGTGCTCTAATGTAACCAAAAAAACTAGGCAGGCGAATATCTAATCACTAAGTCAGTTTAGTATTAGATATTTTTCGGTCATTACGTTAATACATCATTTGGTTCATTCAGGAAAGAATTCACTACAGGTAAGTCTAACTGATGGACTTAAAATTGACTAACAAGATTATGTAATGACATATAATCACTGAACACTTAATTAAGGTTATTGAATAAATAATAACTCATGAAAGAAATCCCACTCCCATCACAACCTTGCTCCTAAATGCCGTGGTACGGCCGAGAGCAGGGAGTGTCAGCTCTCCTTCTTCAAATGCTCTCACATGGCCACGTGCAAACAACCACTGCCAGGGAAGTCCTACTCACTTCCTTGAGGCTGGGGTGTTGTCTACGAAATTGAGAGGACGAAAAGCGAATGTCCGGCACTTTAACCCGGTTATGGACATGGAGAGTCCACCTAGGAGTGTTGCAAAACCATGATTTCAAACCAATGGTGCACATGGACTCGAGTATCGTGAACGAACAAATGGCGTACGAACCAATCGTTGGTCACCGGCTACCATGGGACTACATTTTACGATGCATCACTGTCTTGTGGATCAGACTTTTAGGTCAAAGGCTCCGGGAGTGGCCCACTAAGAAAACCATCTGCTTCGGTTTGGGCACCCGGGCAGTATCATAACTGTCACACAAATTTGATGGTGTGGCACATATGTATTTAATGCTTCCTTGTACCAATGTTTATGTGTTTGAATAAAATAAAATAAAAATATGAAAGCAAAATCTAGTATCTCAAAAAAATAAAAGCGATAGTCATTAAGAGTAAGCATTATTTGAGAGTCGATTAAGAACCATGGTGTATTACGCATCTATTTTATCCTGGTCTATCGATTCATCGCCACTAAGGACAAAACAAAAGATTTTCAGGTTTTGTGACGAGCATTAAATCTATAGACTATCTTATTCACATTTCCAATCATTTTGAAACATGGTAAATACCACTTACAGATGAATCTCATACCTGTAGAACCTCTTTTAACGATAAGATAATCACAGTTATTCAAGATAGTGTAAATATTCTAAGAAACTGTAAATACTTTGATGGTTAAATTGATAAGATATTGAATCTATATTGAAAATAAATCGTTCGTCATAGTGAACAATAAAAACATGATTGTACTTAGATGAATGATCGAGATTGAAGGAAATGAGTAAACGAAAATTGTGTCGTTATTCGCTATTCTCTCACTACTATCAGTTATCTGTTGTACTGTCAATATTGGTAATATGGATACACATTACTGACTAATAGAAAACTCAAATAAAATCATTATTCCTAAATAGTATCTTCATTTTTCTCTAGTTTTTTGTTTATTTTTTAATTATTAGAGTTATTGGCATTTAACGTTTTTTTTCTAAATCTTCACTACTTTGTCTATACGTTTCCCTTATTACCACCATAAAGTGGAAATTTTCAGTTTGTATTAGTGGAAAGCTTTGATAGACATTCAAATAACTCTGATAGCAGATCATTCAAAATATAGAAATAATCAGTAACACTATCCATTAATTGTATTTGTTCATAAATTACCCACTCATTTCTTCAACTTGCTTCAAATGTTTGGAGAGATAAGTATCAAGCTACAGAGAAACAGTTGTTCTTTGCTCAATTGTTTTCAACGGTTGTTTAACTGATGTCAATTAAGAATACTAGTTAATTTAAAATCAAATTATTATGAAGAGATTTTTCGTTATGAATCGATAACATTAGCTAATCAGTGATTGAAGATCAAATATTACCAAGCAGTCATTGTGTAATAACATAAAATTTTTATCAGTGGGCACCAGTAACTTCATGTGGAATGAAACTTAGTATCTGCAGGACTTGTAGGTGTTTGGTATATAATGCTAAGCGATTTCAAAATTAAGATGAAACGACCGACTGATGTTATCTAATTACCACTGTTTATTTCGTCTCTCTCAGTTCAAGATGAGAATTGCTTACAAGCAAACATTTATTTTTAGAAGGGGGTTTTGTTGAGATTTAATAGTTAAGTTCATGAGTCAATTAAAGCTAGACCGCCATGGGGAAAGTATTTTTAAATGAAAAATATTAAAAATAAATGCATAAATAATAGTTTGATTAACGATACCTTTTCAGAGAAATGGACTAATCTATCATAATCAATTTGTATCACTGAGACTTCTTTGAAAAATTCGAAGTCTCTAATGTTCACTGAACGGTTTTTTCAAGAATGGATTGTAGAAGATACGTAAAACTAAACTAATTAAGACGTGTAGCTAGTCACTAAAAGCTTAATCAAAGTGATAGATTTATATATATATATATATATATATTTCTTGTTATTTTCATTACCTTCATGTAGTAGTCCTGATTAATCCTGAAAATTGATGTGTGTTCTATGATGATGTTCAGAATATATCTTATTCAATGTATCATCAAAGGAAAACCGCTAGAAATAGATAACTTGCCGTATTAACTTAAAAATTAAATAACGTTAAATGTTTATAAGAATCATATGCTACATAGTTGAAAGTAAGCAATAAAAGATTTGCTGGTTTGCTTGAGTGAATTAATCACCTCTGAAGAAATGTGTGTATCACATAAACTTAATCCAGTATTCATTAATATCTTAATCAAAATTATTAAAACAGAAGTGATTTCGCATTATTTCTATCTCCATTCCTCATCTATTCTGTGGATTTGATCAAATACACAAGTCTTTCACCATTGTAATCAAACCAATTGATATCAATAATTTAAAACGGAATTAATATAGATGAATGGTTTAAATAAATTATCATTATAAACTTACATATTCTAATAGATCCGATGCTCTAGCTTCTAATTCTTGCATACGTTCTTCTATTCTACGTATTGCTTGTCCAGCTTCTTCACGTTCTATTTCATATCTTTGAAGACAATATTGAAGATGATCTAGCTATCATTGAATGTTGATATTTTATGTTACAGAAGAATGTAAAACAGAAAAAAAAAGAAGCAAAAATGAAGTGATAAAAGAATCCTGTATTTTTGTTGTGTTATTGAATAGCAGATTGACAAATTAATTCCATCTTTTCGTCGAAATATGTATTTTTGGTAGTGAAATTCATGATATTCATGTTTTACTTGGGACTATTCTACTGGACATCATTGTATTATTTTGGTGATATTCTTTACATTAGAACGCTAGCTCAATACCTTTCGCTTCAAAAATACCAACTCATTAGACACTGATGTCAATATTGGCGAAGTACGCTCAATATGCCCATATACCAATGAAAATAGTGCATTTAATTTTCATAATATCAACAACAGGAAAGTCAAAATACTTCTATGTGAACCCCAGTTCAAGATGTTATACTTTATAGTATATCTAAGAGTTTTCACTAAACACTGATGAATAGTCTTAGCCTATAACTGAAATACTTGCTTAGTTTAATTTACATATAAAGTCACAAAAGATGAATTCAACGAAAAGAAAAACATTATCTTGTTCAATTTATTCATTTTTATAGTTAAACAATCTAATAAACGTGTATTACACTATTAGCTTATAAACAAATTGTTCATTATAAGAATGTGATTTTCCTCATAGTTTTGATCAGAAAATTGACTACTGAATTTGCAGTAAACACATAAATTGAATAGTTTATGAGATAGAAGAAACACTGGGGGTTAATGTAATTAATCGAAAATTTAGAATGAATAACAAATCAAATAAATAATCAAGAACGTAGAATAAATCGGAATATTTTTGTATACGAGAAACATATTAAGTCATGATTAAGACAAGTTTATAATCAACTGTTTTCTGTTTAAACAACTCTTGGATTAAAAGCGAAGATGGATAGTGGCTAGTAGTGGAATCCAGTTTGACGCACGTTTCATCCTATTTGATACTCATCAGATGGATGTACCTGAACCTTAGAGTTGGTGTTCAATATAAAACTCGAATCCAGTATCGTTCATTTCAAAAGCCATCGCCTTGTCCATTTAGCTGTTCAGATACTTATATACTATCCATCCTTGATTATAATGCTTGTGAATTAAGGCAATATTGAGGCAATATGCACAGTATTCATATATTTCTATAAGAGACTGGACAATTGAAGTGCTAAATAACAGTAGGAAGATTCAGGTAAACAATAATAAGCGAATTTGGTTCTTGGATTTCAGTTGTCAATGGTTAAAGTCTCTAAAGTGTAAATCGGGTTTAAGCATATACCGCTTTCAAAATATGACTGATTTATACAAAAAATGCCAGTATATTTTGCGAAGTTGCTATGTTCGAGATATTATGGTATCACTTTAGTAGCAGCAAACAAATGTTTACTAGAAACACAATAATACGACGAAGCTAAGCTATCCCTCTGTGTTCCAGCCCTGCCAACGAGAAGAAGAAGAAGAGAGTCAGCACGGAAAACATGTAATTTTACATGCAGGCCAAAAGAACAAATGACAAGCACTCGACACACGCGTAGTATCTACAATACAAAAATGTCCTTGAAAAGCGTCACAAAATAGAGCACTAAAAGGGCAAACGAACCAATGACTTCTAAAAGCTTTTCAGGTGCGAAACACAAACTGAAAGTAAAAATGAGTGCTTTTTTAATTTTACTGAAACTTTATTACCCAACTCATTGTTTTATAGTTAAAGCAATCGAATTTTTTCAGTCTTATTACTTGGCATTTTGCCTGAATTCTTTCACTATTTGTATGTGTATGCATATACATTTGTATTTTATAAATTATGAATTTCCATATTTTAATCTATTACTCGGGAATGATTCGATTACTATCTGGTTATTTAATTCTAATCTAATATTTTCCATTTTCTTAGTGCATCCTGAAGCTCTTCCTACGGTACTACCGGTCTCAGGCATGGGTTAAAGTAGAGAAGTTCCAAGGAAAGGAACTGACCATACTGATGTCAGACCTAAACGTCAAGGTCTGAGTGGACAACACCAAGTATGAGGACATCATGGAACAACATGGACTAGGAGAAAGGAACGAGAAAGACGAGACATTTGCAAACTCTTGTGTATTCAACAAAATAGTTACAAGCGGAACAATATTCCCACACAAAGGCACAAACAAAGATATATGGGTCTCACTAGACCACCTTACGGAGAACCAGACCGATCATATCTGCATTCAGAAGGTCAACTGAAGACTCGAGAATCAAGAGAGAAGCTAATATAGCTTCAGATCATCACCTGGTGGTTGCCTAGATGAAATTGAAGATATAGAAGCATTGGACAACTGGACAAAAAACATCGCATAGGTTCAATACAGCCTTTCTTTCGACATAGTGATCAACTCAAGGAATTAAAAATAATTTTAAGCAACAGGATTCAAACCTTACAAGATCCACTAGGGAGAAAAACTTGAAAATGACTAAAGAAGTACTAACTTCAACATGTCAGGAGGTGCTGGGCCTCAAGAAGCATCATCATAAGGAATGGATCTCTATCGAAAACCTAGGCAAGATTCAAGAAAAGAAGAACATGAAAACAGCGATTATCAACAGTCGGACAAGAACAGAGAAAGCCTAGGGACAGACCGAATACACAGGAGCAAGCAAGAAAATGAAGAGAGGCATTATAACTGACAAGCGGAAATACGCGAAAGGTCTAGCAACAACAGTGGAAGAAACTTCAAGAAGAGGGAATATGAGACGGCATTACGATAAAGAAAAAACTAGCAGGGAAATATAATAAACCAGAGAGACCGGTAATGGACAAAGACGGAAAGCCAATCATCAAGATTCAAGAACAGAGGAACATATGAGTTGAACATTTCGAGAAACTCTTGAATAGACCAGCTCCATTGGATACACCGGACATCGGACCAGCACCTACAGACCTTCCTAAAGATGTCACTACGCCAACGATCAAAGAAATCAAGATCGTTATCAGACAAATGAAGAGTGAGGAAGAAGCAGGATCTGACAAAAAACCAGCTGAAGCACTCAAGTCAGACATAGAAGCAGCTACAAACACGTTTTACGTTCTATTGATGAAGACTTGAGGCGAAGAACAAGCGCCTACAAACTGGAAAGAAGGATACGTCATCAAGATACCAAAGAAAGAAGATATGAGCAAACATGAGAACCACAGAAGAATCACATTACTACCTGTACCAGGAAACTTTTTCAACAGAGTGTTGTTGGACCGGATGAAAGACTTAGTGGACACCTAGCTAGGAGATCAACAGACCGGATTTCGTGAGGATCAGTCGTGCACAGATCAAATCACGACACTACGAATCATCGTTGAGCAATTGACTGGGTGGAACCTGATGGGGAAACTCTCGAAGAGGTGGAAACTTCCACATATATTGGTAGCATCACCAATAAACAAGCGCGATCTGATACGGATGTAAAGGCAAGAATTGTCAAAGTAAGAGCGGTATTCCCACAGTTGAAGAACATATGGCACTCAAAACAACTGTCTGTCAACCAATATCATAGTCACAATCTTCAATACGAATGTCAAGACAGTTCTACTGTATGCAGCTGAAACTTGGAGAACTGTCTCAACCGCCATCAAGACGGTACAAGTATTTATTTACAATTGTCTACTCAAGATATTAAATGTTCGTTAACTGGATACCATTAGGAATAGCCTACTGTTAGAGAGAGTAAACCAAGTAAGAGGTGAAGAGGAACTTAGGAGAAGAATTTGGAGGTGGATATGAGATCATTGTGGAAATCATCAGACTACATGACGAACCAATCGCTAACTTAGAATCCTCAAGAGAAAACGAAAAGTAGAAGATCAGGGAACACGTTGGGCCAGGAATTAAAAACAGACATCTAAAGATTGTATAGCAACTGGTAAGGATTTCCCAGGACGGAGTTTTGTGTAGAATGATGTTGGGCGGCCTACACTCTTCAACGTAGGATAACAGGCATAAGTAACAAGTTATAAGGAGATTTGAGAAAGCATAATGGACACATCTAAATAAATACAGAAAAACATAGACTGCAATGTTGTCTTTAATCGTTTTTTTTAGAAATAAGATTTTCGTGAATTTTTAATGGTAATTTATGTTCTGTCGGTAGTTGGTTTGGTAGGTGGATAGAAGAGACATAAATAACTAATGATACAGAATACACTGCAAAATACTCATAAAATTGTTGAGTGTGTATTTTAAGATTCAAATTGAACAGTTCGTTAGGATAATACGCAGATCCAGGTTTAGTCGTTCTTGCTTTACACTCAAAAAGTTCTAGAAATATGCTACTTAATATATTCAAAGTAATGTAAAACAGGTCTTCAGACGTTTTTGGATGGTTGTCAAATTCGTTCAACTTGCTACAACGTAATCTTAATCAATCTAGTTTACCTACACTTATTGATCACTGAAAACTCCTGTCTTTCAAACCATTAAAACACAATTAATTCTGCCGATAAAATTCAAATGTAATAAATTGTCTAAATGACCCAATATCACACACACCATACTTTAAAGTAAAAAGATTACAGTCAGTTGACTTCAGCTCATACACCTAATCTTTGGGACAACCAACACTAATCATCCACGCATATCCGGAAACCTAAGGAGACGTCTATTTCTTATACTATTCAAACCTAAGTCACTTTCATAAGTAGCTGTCAGTTTTTAGTATCAATTTTATTATTTCCATTTAATGGGTGCTACCTTCCCTTGTATATAATTCATATTATACTAGCTAGTGGCCATATTACAACGTAATCAGTGAAATTGAATTTATGATAAGAACTAGACAAACATCAACTCTGAGGTTTAGGTACATCCAGCTAACGAGTCCCAAATAGAACAAAACGCGCATCTTGGATTCCACTGCTAGCCACTATCCATCTTTGTATATAATGCTTGTGACTTAAGGCTATATCAAGGCAATCCGTACAGTATGCACACATGCCAATAAGAGATTGATCAATCGCAGTGGTA